ATGGCTTTAACAAAGAGAAGTTTATTTCATCACAGTAAAGTAGGCTAAAAGTCCAATTTCAGGGTGTCAGCTCCAGGGGAAGGTTTTCTCTCTCTGTCGGCCTTGTCATCAATCTTCCCCTGGACTAGGAGCTTCTCTGTGCAGGAAGCCCGGGTCTAAAGGATGCGCTCTGCTCCTGGCACTGCTTTTTTGATGGTTATGAGGTCCCCGACTCTCTGTTTGCTTTCCTTTCCTTTTATCTCTTTTAAGATAAAAGGTGGTGCAGGCCACACCCCAGGGAAACTCCCTTTATGTTGGATCAGGGATGTGACCTTAGTAAGGGTGTTACAATCCCACCTGAATCCTCTTTAACATAAAATTACAATCACAAAATGGAAGACAACCACACAATACTGGGAATCATGGCCCCACCAAATTGTACACACATTTTTTGGGGGACATAATTCAATCCATGACAATCCTGGACCAGATAAAGGGCATTAGGTAAAAACTACGGAAATCTGAATAAGGTAAGTCCTTTAGTTAATTTAAAAAAAAATATCTAGAAAGCTGAAAATAAGGCAGGGACCAGGGGCTTTTTCTGGCATCAAAAAGAGAGGAGCTGGAACTTTGTCCTTTAAGAGATGACAAGCCATTGAAGAGTGACAAGGTTAGATAACTGGCATTGGGGATGATGTGAAGCAAGATGGGGAAAAGGCTGCCAGGGAGAAGTCTGTTGCCTAGGCATGAGAGTGTGGTGGAAGAAAATGGAGAGGAAGGTCTAGTTTCAGGAAATATTTAAAAGGTAGATGAAGGAGGCCTTTGATAAGCAACCATAGAGTTACTATGAATTTAAATGATGTTGTGTTGTTGTGTGCCACTGAGTCAATTCTGACTCATAGAGACCCTGTATGACAGAGTAGAACTGTCCCATAGAGTTTCCTAGACTGTAAATCTTTACAGGCAGATCGTCAGGTCTTCTCCCATGGAGCAACTGGTACGTTTGAACTGCCGACCTTTCAGTTAGCATCCGAGTGCTTAACCATTGTGACACCAGGGCTCCTTGTGAATTTAAATAGGAGTGTTTAAGTGCTGGAACAGTGCCCGGCACACAGTAGGCAACCTTTATGTTACAGCTATTTATTCTCAAAAGGATTCAATTCTGCAAATAGTTCTTGAGCTCATACCTTAGTCAATCGCTTTTCTGGGTACCCAGGATACAAAGGTGAGTGATGACATGGTCTCTAACATCAATAATCTAATTATTAGAGGACTGACTCTAGGGTACAATGAGTCATTACTATGCTTGTTTTTACTCTTCTGACTCCCGCTGTTGCCGGCACCCCCCACAACCCACATCCTTATACATGTACTAGGCATTTTAACACTTCTCACTTCTCCCAATTTGTAAGCTGTCCTGTAGGAAATGTGCTCAAGCCATGCTGAAATATTTAACTTGGCGGTCCCTCTTGGACCACAGCATAAGGAGGGCTGCTGCTGGACTGCCTAACCCATACAAAGAGTCTTAATGGCTACTGATGTTTTAATAGGACATTTGGAGAGGTTTGCCTCTTTTCCCTTCTTTGAAACTGTTCTTGGCAGAGAAGGCAGTAATACATCTATCACTTGGATCTTTGTGACAACTCAATTTTTCTTTCTCTCCAGCGTCATCCAGTTCACTCATTTCCATGACTTTAAATGCACTGTCTTAGAATTCTATGAGTTTCATGGCAATTTATTAATATGCAGTTTTTTGCCCCCTCTCCCTTTCCCTTCTCTTACCCAGTTTCTTAAGATGCCTTAACTTTGTTGCTCATTGAAGACCATACTTTATAGCTGCTACAGTTGTTGAAAGAGTCCCTGGGTGGCGCAAACAGTCAAGTGCTCGGCTACTAACCAAAAAAATTGGTGGTTCGAATCCACCCAGAAGTGCCTTGGAAGAAAAGCCTGGTGATCTACTTCTGAAAGATCACAGCCATTTAACCCTATGGAGTGCAGTTCTACTCTGACAGACATGGGGTCACCATGAATCAGAATCGATGGCAACTGGTGGTACAGTTGTTAAAGACCATACTTTATAGCTGCTACAGTTGTTAGTGAGCACAGCTTTAAAAAAATGAAATATTCAGATGTTTCACAAGATGATATTAACTGCAAATCATTACTTGGTGCCAAAGTCCTATTTGCCCATGTTTGTGTTAAGTGTCCAGCCATAGAAGTTGCCTGATGTTTTCACAAATCTCCCTTGTAAGTACAGTATTCTATTACCACTCTGCTTGCATATTTGCTAGGTTACTGGACTTTATTTTCCCTTTGTGTTCTCTGTGGAAGCCATCCTACTGACTTAGTGTACCTTCCCTCCTTACAGAAATCTCATGTATGGTGTGGTGAAGCTTATGAAGATTGTGGGGCAGCTCTCGGATAAATTCTACTACACGGATTGTCTCTTTTTTGGAGCAATTATCTCTGCCACTGACCCAGGTATTTGCATATTTGATTTTACCATTATGATATTCCATTATTTAAATTTTAAAAAGGTAAGAACAATAACTTTTGTGGGAGACTGTAGTATTAACATGGAAGGGTAGACAAAGTGACTAGTAAGTGGGTCTAACAGACTTGGATGGCTTTTTCTGGGAAGGGCATGCATTTCCCTTTTGTCTTTCCTTTATAATGACTAATTTGGTAATTTCTCTACTTACACTGTTTTCTCATTCAGTGTTGTGCTTTTGCCTTCTTTTAGGAAACATGTAATTTTATTTAAAAACTATGATTTCTTAGTGGAAACACACATGGGCACCTGTAGTGAATGTAACTTAATTCATAAACTCCTTTTGTGCAGTGTTCCTGCATGACTGTGCACTGACGATGTTTCCTACCCATAAATCTCTTACCCTAATTTTTTCAAGTGTAAGTTGAACCAATTCTTAAAAGTGAAATTAGTACATGCTCCTCCTCCCCTGCAGCTCAAAATCTAAAAAAAAGCTCTCCTCTCCAAATTGGAACCCATGATTGGAACACATAATCAAGTCATTTTGCATAAATAGCATTTACAGCTGTAAATGCTGTAAACTATTGAGAGTACATCTTAGGGAAAAATTTATGGAGAAAGAGCTGGCCCTGTCCTAACAGTGGAGATGGAAAGGTCTTCTCGATGTCTACACTGCCCTGTAACATTCTGGACAGTAATGACCTTAAAGATAACATTCCCTCACTTGGCCATGCCTCTAGGGGTCCTCTGGGCTGGCGCTATCCAAAAGAGCTTTCTGTGATGATGGAAATGTTCAACAATCTGCCCAGTCCATTTTGGTAGTCAGTAACCACGTGTGGCTATTGAGAACTTGTTCAACCAAAGAACTGAATTTTAATTTTAAGTAATTTAAATTTAAATAGCCACATGTGGCTACTGGCTACATTATTTGGCAGCACAGCTCTAGACAGTTATGTGGTTCTGAAGACTCTCAGTGTTCCAAAAAACATTGACTTTTCTTACCCCATACTTCATTACAAGCACTCTACAAGTAAAGTGGTATTGAAGACTTTTCTGGTTGAGGCACCTTGGTTTGTGAAAAGAATATGAACTGTGGAGTCACAGGCATAGGTTTGAATCTTAGCCCTGCCAATCACTGACTGGGTGGCCTGGTCACACTTTATCTCCTGCAGATCAGTGTCCTCACCTATAAAGTAGAAATAATGGTACTATTTCCTGGGGGTATTGTGAAGATTAAATGAAATAACTCATTAAGCATATAATCTGTTAATTATGTTAGTCTCTTTCTACTTACCCAGGCAGAAATTTCTCTTGTCCCCATGTTTTGTTTTGTTTTTAAATAAATAACAGGTCCTCACTTAACCCAAGCATGTTTATAAAGAGCACACAAATGTAGCTTTATTATTTAAATAGTGTTGTGTCTGTGACTATCTCCAAATGTGTGTCTATTGAAAAATAAATTTTTTCATAAGTCTGAGAAGGATGTTTAGTCTCTTTGGAAATATTATACTAGCTATACTTGTCTATGACTTTATTACTAACTTCTTACCAATACCACTAACAAACAAACCAAAAACCAAACCCTTTGCCGTCGAGTCGATTCCAACTCATAGCAGACTAACAAAGGGAGGTTGATTTAATGTAGAGATTCCTGATATTATTTTCTGAGCTATTAGTATTGCTTCATTTAATTGGCTAGAAATGCTTATTTTTCTAGATTATGTTTGTAATTGTCTACTTCCCTTTAATATGTCTGTGCTGTGGTATAAAATAATGGAAGGCATTACCATGTTGTACCATCTTTATTTGGCCTATGAAGATTGGCACAGTAAGGGTTTTATATAAATGAAAGTTCTAGAAAATAGAAAGTTTAAACTTATTAAACATCAGGACATTAATTTTAACTGTTCTTATAATGGAAATCTTTCTGAAATGCAGAATGTTTTTGTAAATTAAAAGTGATTTTTGCAGCCTCCTAAAAAACCTGTTGTTTGAAATATTGGATCGTAAAAGAGATGCAAACTGAAGTGCAGACTTAGAGGGGACCACAAAACCAAATTTATTTTCTTTGTCTGGTGCATCAAACAAAAATTCTGGCTTTGGGATATGGAGTGGTATTGATTAATATGAAAGAATAAGGTCTCGGTCCCTCATTACACTGTACTTGGCTCAAGACACTGGTCTTTGGTCTTCCCACTACAGGTAACACCATATGTGTTGGGTGGTGTAGGCTGCTTTGTGATTGGGAGCTGTTTCCATTCTGTAGTCATGTGTTGTGGGTGCTATGTGCCATCTTTGTGGACTATAACTTTGAATAGTTCCAGAATTAAGGAAAGAAAATATGTTTCTAACCTACAGTGCCTTTCTAGGCAGCTACCAGAGAAAATGAGTGCTGTTCCTTTCTGTGAACCATTATGAAGTGATTCTCCTTGAGTTGATCAGGCCTACTTACAGATTTCAAAACCTGTGATCTGTGCAGTCAAAGACTAATTCTCTAGTTGCACCACCCAGACTGGTTGGTCTTACTCTGTCCTTTGAGGCTCAGTTCAGATATGCCACCCATACTCCTTCAGTTACCTGCTCTCATAACTCTTTGAGTCAGATCTATTTTGTACACAGTGATAACTGCTGCCTTGTACCGAATGTTCGCAAGTACTAAGTGCTCTTTAGTACATAGTTGAAGTGTTCATAAAAAGTTAGTTGAATGAACAAATTCAGGTTCTTGATTTTTCCTTCTTCTTATATCTGCCATTCTTTGATTTTTTTCCCACTGCTTTTTTTAAACTTCTTAAGATATTTATTTCATTCTTATAAGCTCTTTGCTAAGTAATAGTACCCTAGCTGATAGCCTGCCTCTGGAGTGTGGGGTTTGATATTCTGTTTTCATAGTATCAAGCCAGGGAACCTTAATTATTTCCTGGAAGTAAAAGGAAGATTTCCAAGTATTAAAAAATCTTCTGCGAGGCAGAGCCAAGATGGCAGACGAGTCAGACACACTAAGCCATCCCTCTGCGACAAAGACGTGAAAAATCAAGCAGAACAGATATAGACAGTAGTCCTGGAACCCTGAACTTTAAATGAAAGGAAAAAGTATTAGATCAGAAGCCACTGAGAAGAAATTGAAAATAGCAAACAAGTAGAGATATGGAGTGGAGGTTCCCTGCCGACTGGCATGGCACAGTGCAGCCGTCTTGAGATAAAGCCAAAAACCCTGCACAAAGAGCACAGGAAGGCACCTTCACACAACTCCCAATAGAAGATAGAGGAATGATGTGGACACACCCAGAGTGAAGTAAGGTCCCATTTGCTGGCTGCAGCTCAAGGAAGTGCCCAGACACGCTCATAACAAATCCCACCCTTCTGGCAATTAGTGGCAAAAACCATTCCACCCCATGCAACCCTGACTGCTGGGAACCACAGAACAAACCTCCCCTACCCCTCCCATCTAGACCCATCTGCCCCCTTCCTGCCCCCCCTCCTGCCTCTCTCTTCCCACCAGGCACACCCTGCTGCACTGCAGCCTAGCAGCTCGGCTCTGTACACCTCCCTCCCTGCCAGCCAGTCTGGCTGCATCACAGGGGAGTGACCTGGACCTGTGCCCTCTCCCTCCCTGCCCCGCCACCCCTCAGTTGAGCACTCCAACACATGCTCCTCTCTTCCCACTGGCTTCACCCTGCTGCCCCACAGCTGAGCATCCTGGTCCAGCCCCTATCTCCCTGCTGCAGTGCAGCTGAGCGACCTGGCCCGCGACCCCTCCCTCCTCGCTGGCTACGAGCTGCTGTAGCTGGGTGGCCCAGCCCCGTGCCCATGCCCCCGCCCTCACCACTGGCTCCACCCCACTGCCCCACAGCTGAGCACCTCAGCCCGTGCACCTCCCTCCCTGCCAGCTCCACACTGCTGCGCTGCAGCCAGCGACCCAGCCCCATACCTGTGCCTCCTCCCTCCCTGCGGGCTCTACCCCACTGCTCCTCAGCAGAGCATCCTGACCTGTTCCCCTCCCTCCCTGCTGGTTCCGCTCTGCTGTGCCACAGGCCAGCGACCCAGCTGTGTGTCACACCCTTCCCACCAGCCCTATACAGATATCCTGCAGCTGAGTGTCTTGGCCTCGTGCATTCCCTACCTGCTGGCCCTTCCTCACTGCATCACAGCTGAGCAGCCTCTCCTGCCCATCCACACAAGGTGGTGAAAGCTGTTGTACCCACAGACAAGGAAGCAACAAAGCACGCCTTGCCTGCCTGCCCAGACATACCAAAACAAAACAGATAAGCAGAACGGAAAAAAACAAACATACAATCAATAAAAAACAAAAATAATACCTGAATATCTGGCCCTGACATATCAAAACAAAACAAAAAAGCAGGACAAAACAAACGAACATACAATCAAATAAAATAATACCTTAATATCTTGGAGACAGCAGACAATATCAAAACATATAAAAAAGCAGGACGAGATGGCTCCAACAAGTGACCAAAATAAAGAATCAGATGACATTCTGGTAGAAGAAAAGGCAGTGGAATTACCTGATATGGAATTCAAAAGACTAATATTTAGGTCTCTCCAAGATATTAGGAAAGACATCAAGGAAAACACAAGAAAAGTAATAGAAGAATTCAGGAAAATAATACAAGAACACTATGACAAAATAAAGAAACAGTGACAAATCATACAAAAACAGCAACCAGAAATCCAAAGGATACACAACAAAATTTCAGAAATGGACAACTCTTTTAGGAGCAAATTTGAAACAATGGAAGACAGAATCAGTGAGATTTGAAGGCAGATCAATGGATGCCACTTTGGGGAAAAACCAGAGAAAAGAATGAAGAAAAATGAAGAACCTAAGAAAGAGGTGGGACACAGTCAAGAGCAAAAATTTGCATGTGATTGGAGTTCCAGAACTGGGGGAGAAAATGGAAAACACAGAGAGGATTGTGGAAATCTGCTGGTAGAAAATTCCCTAATACCATGAAAAATGAAAAGCTGACCA